CCCCCCCGATATTCAGAGTCAATCAGTCTGGGCTGTAGCCTGGTTGAAGGGATGTGTCAAATGTCACCAGATGATGTCACTGTGAGACCAAGTGCCCCAGAGCTGGGACAAAGGTTGATCAACTATGCCCCACGGGCCAAATCCAGCTCAGTGATTTCTGAAAGTCAGGCTTGATTGGAACATACAAGTACTGATTCATTTACCTATGGTCCACGGCTGCATTCACGCTGCACCTGCAGAGCTGAGCAGCTGCGACAGAGACCGCACGGCCCCCAAAGCCTGAACTATTTAGTACCTGGTCCTTTGCAGAAAGTCTGTCGACCCCTGTGCTACAGTCTCCGTTTTCCCTGGGGAATTTCAGTAAGAAGGTTTAACGTCTTCTAGATGTATGGCTATAAAACCGACACACGGTGCTGAATAAACCCAGCATCTGCTATTGTCCAGCTTTTGCTTAGGAGCCTGGCCTTTGTTTCCCATCCCTGCCTGCGACGCCATGAGCTGTACACATTCCTATCACCTTTATCACCCACTGTTACAATAAACAAAGCACAAAGCTACTCAAACAGAGCTGCTGTGTTTTCAGAAAAGAAAAAAAAATGTCTTGGAACATTTCTTTGTGTACTAATTGAAAGCCTGGAGAATGGCATAGCCAGGCAGTGGAAAAAGGGAAAAAAAAAATCATCAGGTGACTCAGTCTATGATTTACTTGTATTAAGGGAAGTCAACTTTGCAAATAAATAGAATAATAAGAGAGAGGAGATGAACCCCCAGTGTCTGGGGGCACTTACCACAGCTGAGCCGCTATCACTGGGTTGCTTGCTTTAAAGGAAAAAGACAGACGTTACGACATCTTAGAGAGCTGGGATAACTTTAACTTTTTGCTGTTGGAAATACACACAGCTACACATCCACTGATTCAACAATTTCTACACATACAATTCAGTGACACCGACTAGTCTTCAAGCTGTAACCATTCTCCCCTTTTCTGAATTGTTCTTCCTCCATTAACATACACTCACTGACCCCTAAGGCTCCTATCTGATCTTCCGGGTTCCTGTTTGATCCCACAGACAGTGCTTTAAAAAAAGCATGATGTGCAAGGCAGACAGTCTTTACTAGGCAAGGCAAACTATTCTTTGGTTTTAAGACAACTCCAGGGGATATTTTTGATTTAAGGTTTAAAATTATCTCAGGGCAATAGTTGCAGGGCTTTATCCAACCTCCATGGCCCTGAAAATCTGGATTCCAGGAGAATTTGAAATTCGGTTCTGTATTTTTTCCCCTTTTGATCAGAATTCTTCTATAGAATCTCTACAGAGCTTTGATCAAAATGTTCAATAATGGTAGCTAGGTAAAGGAGGCATTTATTCATGGAGGCCTTCCATTTCCTCCTCCTATTCCTGACCCCTCTTCTTCCTCTGTTGCTCCAGGTGAATAGAGCCCACCTGTTGCTATTGACCTGGAAGAGACTTCTGAGACCTCAGAGCAGTCTCAGCCCCTCGCTGGCAGAATATGCAGCTCAGCTACTGTTTCCTGAGGGAAAATACAAATATGCGGCCTTTCTACTATATCCCTGGTCCCTCCAACTCACTCAGTAAACATTCACCGAGCATGGTGCCAAGCCAGGAGCTCTGGGGGTGCAGAGACAAAAGACACAGACCGTGCTCTCAAGAAGCTCACAGTCTTGAGAGACACGCAGAGCGAGAGGCGTGTCAAAGTGAAAACAACATAAGAGTCTGGTAGTCAGGGAGCAGAGAGCAGTACCCTCTGAGCGGGGCGGGGGCGTGAGTCTACGTAGAAGGGGCCAGGGATGAGGGAGCACTTATTTATCTATACCCCATTTTGCGTTATAAAGAATGAGGCACAGAAAATCCTTAAGAGCTTCACAAAGATGCTAGACCTTGGGCTGGAAAAAACATTAGAAAGTAAAGAAGAGGATGAAGGTCAGGAAGGACAGGGAAGGAGAATCCCAGAACCTTGAGATTATAGGAGATCTAAAGCCATCTCTGGTAGCATAGTGCCTGAGGCACTTGACTGCTAACCAGAAGCTGGCGGTTCAAACCCACCAGCCACTCCTCGGAAGGAAGGTTGGGCAATCTACTTCCGTAGTGATACTGCCTCGGAAACCCAAGGAGGGGTCGCTATGAGTCGGGTCCACCTCGACGGCACATAACAACAACAACAACAAAGCCATCTTAGCCTCACCAAGGGGTCCTTCTGTTTGAGTCTGTGCATCTCTAGGGACTGGGAACTCACTTGTGTCTTAAGATAGCGTCTCCTGTCTCTGGACAACCCTACTAGAAAGTTCTTCCTTGTACCAGACCTTTTCTGAATAACTGAGCCAGTCAATCACACACACACATATATCATCTTGGAAACCCAAGGAGGGGTTGCTGAGTCGGGTTCGACTCGACAGCACATAACAACAACACGGGGTGACATAGCCCCTCCAACAGAGAGCTCTCCCTCCTTCCCCATCACTCCCAGGCCCTACAATCGCCCCGGTCTGTCATGGTTGTGAGGCCTCCCATCACCCCAGCCCCCTTCTCTGGATTCACTCCCACCCTCTGGCCTTTCTTCAGGGAGGTCCCAGCTCCTGGTCTCTGGGCGTTTTCCCTCCACTAAAGCAGCTGGATGGCTGCCACATTATTGGTTCATAAAGGAAGAGAACAGTGGGAAGCACTGAGCTAATGACTCTAGAAAGGCCACTATGAGTAAAAAAAGGTACAAGAAAGGGTGAGGCGGATTTGAGTGCAGGTGCCCTGTCCTCCCAAGAGTTCCTATAAAAGCATGAACAACCCAGGAGTTCAGACAGAGTAGGGAGAAGTACAGAGAAGACAGAGATCCAAGATGGGAGGTGGAGGCAGAATTTAAGCAGAAACTGCTCATGCTCACTTACTCAATGACAGAGCAGGTACTGGGTGCCAGGCCTTCTATCAGGTGTGAAGACACAGGAGCAAATGACCCAGACACGCTTCAGGGAGGGGGAAGGGCTGCCCTAGGGCCAGGCTACTTCCAGGGAAGGGTAGACTGACCCTGGGGAGCTGAGCCAACCATTGAAAAGATCTACATCTACTCTTCCGTGGCCAGAGTTCTGGTTAACGGGAACCTGATGGCACTACTTGGAACTGCTAAGAAGACGGAGGACACAAGGGGCTGTTTCTCCCTTTAAGACACAGTAGCTTCTTCCACAGGCAAGACACGTGTTTACCTATGACCTTCCTGAGGTCCCAGGGGTTGGTCCCAGATCCAGAAGAAGCGAAGAGGCACAAGATTAGAAAGATGGGGATGGGGAGAAGCAAACGGGCGCACCCAAGGGGAAAGATCATGTCGGCAGGGCAGCAGAGGAGGTTCGAGTCTCATCCAGGGTCAGCGGGATTCCCTCAGATGCTTTGGCACGGTGAAGCAAAGCTGCAGAAGGGCCCTCCTCTAACCGCTTCACCAAGCCCCTTTGGCCTAAATCAATCCCAAAATGAAATTGCAACGCGAACGACAAACACACAACCTTTGAAGGTGGAATGTCTCCGGGACGGGTAGCGTTTACTGGGCTTCCTCTCAAAGGTGCTGGTTCTTCGTAACCTGGCCCCGTGTGTAGCTTGATATTCCGTCCGCCCACTGGAAAGTAAGTATTTTATTTCATGTTACCAATATCAAATACCAGTTTTTATATATACTTACAAGTAAACATTTATTTTCAAGAGCTCCAACATAAATTTCAATGTGTCTTGAACTCACTTGATAAAGACACACTCAATTTAGCCCTCCATTTGGCAATAAAATCACCTTTGGCAAATCCAGGCTATATTCAGGGGCAGAGTCCCTGGATAATGCGGTGGTGAAGCACTGGACTACTAACAGAGACGCTGATGGTTCAAACCCACCCTGCAGTGCTGGGAAGTAAGGCCTGGAGATGTGCTCCTAAAAGGGGCTGACCTTGGCAATGCTACGGTACACAGCTGGACTCTGCACACACGGCGTCATCATCAATCAGAATCCACTCAGTGGCAACTAACAACAAACTTCCACTGAAGGACTAAACCTGCCATTTCAGCACCAGCCACCTGGCTGTACAAACCAAGCAGCTACGAGTACTTGGAACGTTTGACTAAGAGAACACAGATCAGCATGTAAAATCATCTTTCAGGAAAGACACGACATACAAACTTAAACCATCTTGTAGAAGGCTGTTATCAATGACCATGGAACTAAACCTTGGCTTTCTTTGCTACGCCAGGGAAAATGTTACTTACTTATCGAGGCTTTCTGGGTTTTAACAAACATGACATCGGGGTGCAGCTTCTAAGAGGCACGCTGCTTCTGCTGTTCCACCCACCACTGTTGCATCCCAGTCACTCTTGGTTTATGATTTATCAGAGGGGAGGGGCCCCTCGCCACCTCCTCTGAGTTCTAAGTGCCTCCAAGAGGCAACCTCGCCTCCAGCCTCTCCTTCCTCCTTATCCCTCCCCTGGAGAAGCAGAAGGGAGCCTGGGCTGGGCCCAATCCTGGGGGAGTTTCCTCCCAGGAGGGAGAAGCCTGCCTGGCAACCGCCCGACAGCCCTCCCCTCCCCACTCCGCCCGAGCAGACACCAGCGTCCTGGGCAGTGTCTCTGCCAACCTTTGCAGTTCTAGCATTTTCCACCCTCCACAGAGCCTTGTGATTCGATTCTTTCTCAAATAGGACTTGGTCTTTTTTCTGCTGCCCTTGGAGCACTTAAAAATACATTCCAACAGACTATTTCTTTGAACAGAAGTGCTCAGCCATGTCCTCACAGAGCAGCTACACACTGGAAAGGAACAAATCTCTTGGCATTTTAAACAGAGTTCAGGGATGTGCTGTGTGTGGGTAGAAGTTATGAAACCGTGTCAAGTGGCAGATCTTGTACAAGCGACTCTAAGACCTGTAAGAGTGTCTCATAAACCGGTAACGGGTACATGTACAATGCACTTCCCCAGACCCTACATGCACACACATATATGTGCACACCCACAGATTCTGATTACAAACGGCTCAGTCGAGGTCACAAACCCTCGTTTTTAACAAACACCAGGCAGCTCTCACGCATGTGTTTGAGAAACATGGTCTTAGAATCACAACGCATGATACACAATCGCAGATCAGAAGTAACACTTATTTTCAGATTCAGGGTCTTTTCAGATTCAAACACTTAACTGAGCCCACCCTGGGTCACCTATGCACACTGACACCTGCTCTCATTCTTAACTGTGACCGAATTTCTCAACATGGGCACATGGAAGGCCACACTACAGTTAGAAATTTAAGAGCCAGACTGCTTGGGTTCAAAGTTCTCCTCTGCGACTTGCTGTCTATGTGTGACTTTGGATAGATTCAGTAAGCTGCGTGGCCCCAGTCTTCTTATCTATAACATGGTGATAATCAGAGCGCTACTCGGTTAAGGCTGCTCTGAGGGCTCTCAGCACCCAAGCCACTCCAGTGCAGCACTGCCCGACAACTTCCCACAACGACGCTGTGCTCTCTATCCGCACTGCCCAACACGGCAGCCACAGGCCTCGATGTGGCTACTCAGCACCCAGACTATGGCTCATGACACTGAAGAAGCAGATCTTAAAATGTATTTCATTTTACTTAATGTCAACTCAAATAGCCATACGTGGTCGGCGGTTACCATGCTGGATGGTATGTCGTTGTTATTCTTAGCTGTTGTCAAGCGGGCCCCTGAGTCATGGCCATCTCGTGCACGACGGAATGAAACACCCCCCAGTCCTGCATCACCCCCAGGATGGGCTGCAGGTCAAACCACTGTCATCCAGACGGTCCTCACTGGCTGATTTTCAGAAGAAGACCGCCAGGCCTTTGTTTCTAGTCCATCTTAATCTGGATGCTCTGCCCAAACCTGCTGAGTATTACAGCAACACAGAAGCCACCACTGAGGGATGACGGCTGTGTGTGACGGGCAGTGCTGAGGAACCTCACCCGGGTCTCCGGCAGGAAGGCGAGAATTCTCCCACCGCCGCACCAACGCTCTCCACTCGCTGGACGGCACAGCTGTGCTTCAATGTCAGCGACTACTAATTTTGTAATTACTCTCATTTCATTGATGAGGATATGGAGGCTGAAAGACCTAAAGCTCAGATCTCCCAAACAGAGGGATGGGACCTGAAACCCAAATCCACTGCTCCTTGTACAGCAAACCTCCCTGTCACCCTTCTTCAAAACATGCAACCCACGGTATCAAAACGGCTCCCACCTGAATCTGAAGCGAGAGCCCAGCCTGATGAAGTCTGATCTGTTGGCTTTGCTATTTCCGGGCGTCCGCAGCCTGAAGAAGGCGTGGTGCTCCACTGCACACTTCCACAGGTGTTTGCAGGTCCTGGCGCTGTCTAAACGGAACACGAACGTGTGCTCTTGTTCGCGGCCCTGAAGACGAAGCACAGGCCCTCGGGTGAGTGTCTGCAGCGTCCCAGGGCATTTGTAGCCGGGAGCAGAAGCGGGGGCAAGGCCTACCTGGTCATCATCCTCAACCACCACAAGCGTCAACTTGCTCTTTTTAAAATCCAGTTTGGTAATTTTAGGCCTGGTCAGAGAGAATTATCTCAAAAGGTGCATTTGGCAGTAAAACCCTCTATATACCCAACAGCAGTTTCTTTTCTACCAGTCACTCAAGTGTGATTATCTAGAAGTTTCTCAGAAATTTCATACAACCACAAACACAATAGTGCAATGTGTTTTGAAAATAAATTTAGGTGTTGCAATTCCCTCCATAATCACCCACCACAAAATACAAAAAGGCAGTTTTAATGTAAGATAAAACTAAATTACCAAAAGAATAAGCCTATTTTGTTAGCTCCTTCAAAGATGAGTATGCCCGTTGGAGTCAGTCCAAGAGAATATTCACAGCCATCTCTTCCCTATAAATGAACGAAGTGACAATCGGCAGAGGGTTCCAACAGGTCATCACAGAGCAGAAATGCAAAACAGTTTCCTCACCACATTACTTTGTTGGCACATTCTTTCCACATTTTTCAGAAACACAAAACAAGATGACTGAAACACACGCAGCTCTTACCCTGACAACGTGCATGTCTACCCCATACATTTCCAGCCACTTCGCTTTATTCAGATATGAGAGTTCCGCCTGGGCAGGGCTCTTTCCCCTTAGAAAAACCAATGGAGATAAAATGTAAACTGCAACTCACACACCCACCCAGTTCTGAAGGGCACCACCCGTACTACGGGACCTAGGCAGCAAAAGAAGGAAGGAGGGGCACCATCTTATGTGAACACCAGAAGAGCTCCAAGAACATGCTGTTAATGGAACAAAGAACACAGAACAGTGCTTATCATGTGATCATTAAACAAAAGAAAACAATGGTTTTGGTGTGGATACACACATATGAACAACAAAGACTACAAGAATACACAACAGACGATTATGAGGGCTTCCTTCAGAGACGGGTGTGTGTGTGTGTGTGTGTGTGTGTGTGTGTGCGTGTGTGTGCAGGGAGTGGAGTGACTCTATATCCTAAGACATACATCCTCTTTTGTCTCGGAGTGACAACAGGAAACCATGTGAATTCCTGAGTCTGAGAGTGACTTGGAACAGGCAGTATCTGGGGAGGACACTGGAAACAAGAAAGGCTAGTTCGGGAAACCACTGAGTGAAGGGGCAGTGGTGGCAGTGGTGGCAAGTCCAGCGTGACACTCGGGCGGTGGTGAGTGCACAGGAAAATGGAAGAAGCAACCAAAGAAGAGATGACAGGGGTGGATGACAAGCTGGATTGAGGCATGGTGATCACATTTTCTGAAATATAACTGGGCACATGGACTCAAGTATTGAGTATCTATACTGAAAAAACCCACTGCTATCAAGTCAATTCCGACTCATAGTGACCCTACAGAACAGAGTAGAACTGCCCCATGGTTTCCAAGGCTGTATATCTTTACATAAGCAGACTGCCACAATTCTCTCCTGCAAAGCGGCTGGTAGCCTCGAACTGCCAACTTCTGGTTAGCAGCTGACCTCTTTAACCACTGTGCCACCAGGGCTCCATAATATCCCTAGAAGGGACACCATTTCTTAAAGGTCTGCTCTGGAAGATACAGGCCACGGGGTCACTAGAGACACACACAAGTGAGCAGGGCTGTGTGTCAAGGCAGCACCTTCACACTTTCTCTGGGGGCCAGGACAGCAGTGGCAACCCCGGGAGCAACGAGCCGATCAGGGCCAGGCTCTGCATCTCAGAGAGTGGAGAAGAGCCTGGGCGGGCTCCTGCTGCGTGTCTCCTATAACAGAGCTGCCATGTGGGCTGCAGGAGTAATGGGACTGAAACACAGGAGAGAAGGCGAGAGTTGGAGCTGCAATCTTACAGTCATCAACAGAGCAATTCTACGGGTGACTAAGAGGTTCTGCCAAATGCTTCCACATTAAAAACAAATACATCAGAACGTTAGACGAGCTTCAAGGTACCTGCACTCTTTCCATCTCTGGAAGATATCGAATTCCATGGCTTCTGTCTGGTTCGGAATGAACCGAAACTCAGACACAAGCTCCGGGGTGTGTTCGGGAAGCTCGCACTCGCCAAGCTCCGCTGTAAGTTTCACAAAAGAGAGAACAGGAGGCATTTAATGCTTTCAGTTATTGCTACACCCAGGCCCAAAGGCGTCCTGCATGATGTGAAGCGTAAGTACCCCCATGTCTAACTCCCTTCTCTTGGGGAGATTCAACTTGTGCTCAGTGCCCACAAGTACACCCTGAATCCCCGCCAATCACTCGAATGCCGTCCCCGTCGGGTGATACACCATCATCCTAGTTATTACTGTCTTTCTCCCAACTGGTTCTCCTATCCAGTGAGGCTCCAATTACATTTTCCCCGTGAAGTGATACAGCCCTGTGTTTTCAATAAAAGGTAACTGCAAGGCTTGAGGGCAGCCCAGAAACATCCACTGAACAGGCTCTCCTGAAGGGCGGGGCGGCACTTCAGGGTCTTGCTGGAGGGGACCAGTCCTGAACTTGGTACATGCAGGATAGTGTGTGTGTGTGTGTGTGGGGGGGGTGGCGCTGTGAGGGGAGCAGGGAGGGAGCTGCAGGAGCACCTCAGACAGAACCTGGGAGGGGGACCTGTGGAGAGCAGCAGCCTCGTGAGCCACCCAAACTGTGCTGCTGTGTGGTCCCTGCTCTTGCTAAGGCCTCACAGGACACAGGTGGCCCCACTCCCTCCAGCGCATGAGTTAAGAAAATCCACTTTCCCCACCCCTGCAACCCTACAGCTCAGAGAGCAAGTCCCAGAATGAAAAGGAAATCTTCCAACCCAAACTGCTGCTACTGAGGTCACTCTGATGCATAGCAACCCTACACCACAGAGCAGAACTGCCCCACAGAGTTTCCAAGGATGCAGAACTTCAGGAGCTCTGGTGGTATAGTGCCTAAGGCATTTGACTGCTAACCAGAAGGCTAGAGGTACAAACCTACCAGCCACTCCTCGGAAGGAAGGTTGGGCAATCTCTGGGCAATCTACTTCCACAGAGATACTGCCTCGGAAACTCAATAGGGGTCGCTATGAGTCGAAAACAACTCAGAGGCAGTTAGTTTTTTTTTTTTTTTTTTTTTTCCCAGATGCAGAGGAGCAGGCTCAGTGGATTTGAACCATTGATCTTTCAGTTCGCAGTCCAGCATTTGACCACTGCTCCCGGAGATCATCTAATATCTTGCTACTCCAACTGTGGTCCACAGACCAACAGCACCAACATCACCCGGGAGCTCGCCCAAAATGCTGAATCTCAGGCCCCAGCCCAGCCCCACCGAATCAGAACTCGCCTTTAACAATATCCCCAGGTGACTGGTGCACACATTCCAGTTTGAGAACAGTGGGTTTCAAAACTTGACCACACATTAGCATCACCTGGAGGGCTTGATAACCACACACCGCTTCTCCTTCACCCCTTACCCCCATCCCCAATCATGCTGATTCCCTAGGTTGAGAATGAGGCCTGAGAGCACAGTTTTCTAACAAATTCCCAGGCAAGGTTCAAATAGCTGACCTAAGGAACACACTTTAGGGACCACTGTTTAACAGCCCAATTCCATGAAAGACCAACCAGCATATGCTTGGACACTCTAGTGGTGGCAACTCACTGGGTATCCCCTGCAGTCCTTATCCATTTGGGGATCACCCCAAGTGGGACATGCCGGGTCTGGCACTGGGCTTCTAAGACTCTCAACCTGCACCTCACATTTCAGGAGGGGCACTCCTGCTGGCTTGCAAGAGAAGTGTATAAAACTTGCCCATCCATACAAAGCAAGCAGTAACACCAAACGCAGAGACAGTGGGAGACTGTATGAGACAGCATCTGACACATAGTGGGCACCTGGACAGTGCTCCCTCCGTGACCACGGCCCCCTGTCTGTACACACAGTGCAGTCTGAACTGGATCATACCCCTAAGACTGGTGTGCAGCTGGAGGGGATGTAGGCAAAGTCACAAATAAGGACTCTGTTCTGGAAAGAAATACTCACCCACCATAGGTAGGTGAGAGCCAGGCTCCCAAGGTGGAGGCAATCACGACCTCTAACAGGTGACCCCTAAAGCAGCAAACAGGCCCAGTCAGAGGGGTGGTCTGGGAAACGATCCCCTTCATATGAAGGAACCACCCTTCTCCTGTACCATGGACTAAAGTGAGGCAACAGAGCTCTGCTCTCAGTGGTGTCTGGATAAGACTGGATCGACGTGCCCCTGACATTATCAAGCTCTGGGTGGGAAAAACCAGACAAGAACGAGGCTCCTCTATTGGGTTCCAACCAGGAAAGGGGCCTAGCATCCCTCCTCATAACTGGACAAAAACAGGCCAAACTGATACCTCGGACACCCACTGTGAGGCAGTAATGCTTGCCTTCTAGGGGCCTACAGGCAAAAACCTGACAGTTCACTCAGCCCTTACCTTCTACCACCCAGGCCCCTGCAGGCAGGCTGTGGAGCATGTGGAAACAGCTCTCACACAGTAGGGCTTCAATCTCAACATTACCATGTGCTATCTGTGTGGCCTCTGCTGTCCCTGCCGCCAAAGTCATCCAACAGAATTGCTAGGAGGATGCCACAAGATCAGGGACATCCAAGGAATGACTATCCCCTTCTCTCTCTCTCTTTCCTCCTTTTCTTTTTTTCCTGGATGGATTTTCAAATCTATAATAAATTTAGTTTCCAAAAACACAGCCCACATGCAGGACTACCACATCACACAACTCCACAGGCACTATTAATTCAAGGGCAACCACAACACGACATGTCTTCAAGGTCCAAGCACAGGAGGGAACACAACCCCTCCTTTCATTCAAACCCACAGAGATGCTCCAGAGATCATTACAGGCCCAGGCAAGCTGGCTCAGATCTGGATGAACTGAAAAGCATGCATTTCCTGGTGGTCTATGTGTGGGGTAGGGGCATGGAGGAGGAACAGTGGAACAAGAACTTCCACAGTTGTGGGTCTAAATCTTCCAAGTCTTTTTATTTGTACCTGATATAATGAATGCATCTGAGAATTACACTAATGTGTGGTTCCCATTCAAATGGATAATTGGCCAAGAAAAGCTCACAGATGGCTGACCTCATGCTTGTCTGCTTGTCCTCTGGGAGTAGGCAAAGATTCTACCAGAATATGAACTATGTGAGAGTGGTGATGCCCCATCATACAAAGGGCGAAATCATTGAGGGCAACACATAAGCTTGTAATATTGTTCCAATGGCCTCAGGAAGGAACCTCTCTCCAGTAGCCAGCCAGCCTCAGGCCTGACACAGAAGCTCTTCTCCCATTAACAACACCTTGAAGCCCACCCAGCCTGATGGTGAGACCTCTTGGTGACTCAGACACTCAAGGGTGGACGTAGGTCACTTGGTAACAACTGTGAAACCTGTACCAGGCCAAAGGCTGGAGCAGCAAAGTGAAGAGGACACCGCCATGTCCCCTATCCATGCGCACGCCTAAGGCTGCTGTGAGTATCAGGGAAATATGGGTGAAGCCCTCAACACTGTACTTGGTACAGATGGTCACAGACAACATCAATGTTACCTCTGCCACCAACACCTTCAGCCTCCCCTACACTCAAAAAGTCCATTGTGTGTATGTGTGTGTGTGGGGGGTATCTCCTACTGTATTCATTCAACTCATTCTGTACTTAGTGAGCACCTACTATATGCCAAACTCCCAATGGGTAGCAGGAATGAAAAGGTGACTGAGGAATGGAAATACCAAGTAATGGGAGTATCTTGCAAAAACTATCTGAATACATGTATCAAAAATGCCCAAAAAATCATATAAAAAATTATATATGACTATGATCAGAACTGCATACTTAAAAATTCACCAATAACTCATGGATGTAAAGTTGTGTTGTCTGTAGGTGGCAGGGCAGTGGGCTACTTCCTTCCTTGTACTTGTCTGAGTGTGTGCTGTCCTGATATTCCATAATAACAAGGTACTGATTTGATAATTGAAAAAATTATTCTCAGATCAACTTGTAAAACTGGTAAAATATAAAAGTGGAAAGCCAAACGATATTATGGTGTTACTAAATAATTACTAATTATGAATGAATGTATCATAATGCATAATGAAACAGAACATATTGGTAAATGACTTTACAACATATGTCCATCTGCTGTCCTAATGAAATTCCCTATGTACCGTTACACATTAGTATTCTCTTAATTAGCGCTAGAAACTTTAGCAAGTGTTTCTTATGCATTTTAAACTAGACTCCACCAATGTGTCATTTGGATGGAACAGTCAACAGTGACAATGATGCATGCACATCTCTTAACCAGTGTCCACCCACATGCTAATGACTCCCCCGTGAATGCTTCTGGCCTGACCTTGCTGGCCACACTCAGACATCCAAGGAGCAGCTGGAGGCCTCACTGGTACCTCTCAGTCAACTGGCCCCAAGCAGATGGTCTCTTCCCCTCGAGCTGAGCTCTTCTAACCATTCGCCACTGCTGTCACCTCACCATGGTGACAGCCTGTGAGTCATCTCTGACTTCTCTTACAACTAAGTCTAATCACCATCTTTCTTTTACTTCCAACACAATTTCTTTTTTGTTTTAACCTCTGCAGCCCCTGCCTGCAGGAGTCCCATCTCATTTCCTTCCCCCTATCACAGGAATACCTCCTCACTGCACCCCAGCCCCGGTCTGGGGCCTGCCCCAGTCCCTTCTCCCCATCACAGTCCATGTGGACTGTCTAAGATGCACATCTGACCAGGCCTGCCTCCTCCTCGAGAGTTTTCAAAGGTGCCCATCTGACACCATGAGGTTTATGCTCTTTAAACAGAGTCCCAGGCCAACTCCCTCTCCAGCTTCTTGAACGTCACCCCTTCGACAGCACTGAACTGCTGCCACCTCTCTGTCCTGTCTTTCTGTTTTGTGCCGTGTTCCTTTATTCATCTTCAGCTACTCACCCCCCCATGGGACTTGCCCTTCCATGCCCCGCCCCCCTTGCAAGTCTCCATTCCTGATGGAACTACACCGTACTCCTCACTAGACTGGAAGCTACCTGGGGACAGGGATTGTGTCATATTCATTTATATCCCTAAGTATGGCCCAATGCCTGCTTCACGGTAGACATCTGTGGAACTCAAAAGCAACAAAGGCAAGGCAAGGCAACCATTGCCGTGGAGTCGGATCCAACCTATAGCAACCCCTCTTTGGGTTTCCGAGGCAGTATCACTACAGAAGTAGATTGCCCCATCTTCCTTCCGAGGAGTGGCTGGTGGGTTTGAACCGCCAGCCTTCTGGTTAGCAGTCAAGTGCCTTATACACTACGCTACCATTACAATGCTAATTACTACAACAGAACAACGTACCTTGTAGACAGAGAGCAGCTAACTCCACAGCAGTTTCATAGGGGCATTTCAATCTTGGAAAAAAGAAAAAGATTAATTCTAAATATGTACTTAAATATACTCATAAACTTACAAAATTTCAATAAAATAGATTTCCAAAAGGTAGTGGTACTTAGATAAAATTTTTATTCTGTGTCATTGATTCTTTGCTGTCCACAACAAAGAATGTCCTATTTCCCAAAGTCGGATTTCACCATATGACAAAATACCCTAATCTCGGTATAGTTATTATCAAACAATTCTACTGACTTTGGCAGAAATGGGGAAGTTTGGGAAATAAATGAATAGCCCTCCCTTTGTATTATTACTATTAATAGTTTATTATGTTTTCAGTGAAAAGTTTACACAGTAAATTAGGTTCCCATTTAACAATTTCTGTACAATTTGTTCAATGATACTGGCTACACTTTATACAGTACGTCAACTTTCTCATTATTTCCATTCTGGTTATTCCATTTCTGATAATCTAGTTTCCCTGCCTCGCTCCTGCCTTCTCATCTTTATTTCAGAGTAAGTGCTGGCCATCTGGTCTCACATATGATTTTTTTTAAAGGCACATAGAACTCAAGGGTGATACTGTTTATTTTATGAGCCAATCTGTTATTTAGCCAAAAGGTGACCTCATAGTCATCAGGGAACAGTTTTGGTTCAAGGTTTAAAGAATATCTCTGGGCGACAGTCTTAGGGAATCCTCTAGTCTCAACTGGTCCAGTAAGTCTGGACTTCTTAAGTGTCTTACCATTTTTAAACTTATTTTTCATTACTTTATCTTGTTATAGTACATGTGTCTTTTCAAGCTGCCTTAAATCTTTCTTGGAATAAGGTCACAGTGTTAAAAATAAACACACAGAAGCCATATCTAACACTTCCAGGACAGCTGGATACACTCAAGCATACTAACAGTGTAACCGAAGCACAGCCTGAGAGGTGTACTACCACAAATCCAGCGACCACATTCCTACTTAACACTACAGATGTAGTTAGAAAAACAATGATGACCTACATCAGTATAGCACTTCACAGTTTTCAAAGCTTCTTCATTGATATTATCCAATTTGGTCAATGCAATGAGTATGTAAAACCCTAGGATGAATGTTGCTGGAGTGCGACCCCCTCCCCTCATTTTACAGGTGAGGACCTGAGTGTTAAGGTGTCACGCCTAAGGACATCTAGCTGGTAGGCGGCAATGCCAGGACCAGAACACCATTCTGATCGGAAGCACAGCGTATCGGGCTGCAGAGCTTACAAACTGTCAATAAAGTACTATACAAATGCAAGGTGTCACCATTACTATTTTTCCAAACTGAAGACAATTTCTAGAGTCGAGAGGCTTTTAGTATGAGGAGCACAGTATGAACAGAGAGAGAGAGAGAGAGAGGAGAGGAATACACACACACTCATAATACATACACCAACCAAAGATCCGTATTGCATGGCTGAATAAGGCGAATGTATACACTGTACAATCTACTTGTTTTATAGTGGACATCGCACTGAGATCTGCAGAGTCTACTGAGAGTTTGCAGATTCTGAAATGACAGTTTAAATTTCCCTCCGATCACATGAAAAATCAGATGTAAAAAGGGATTCTTGTCAACAGCAGGTATTGCTTTTAGACTCAATACACCCTTCGTTTTTCACGTGGCAGAAAATACTCACCACATTTGCTGCAAAAGGATGACTGTAAGAGCTATGACTGCTAAAATCTCGCGTCTTTTAAAATAAATTGATACTGCATGCGAAATCAACTACTTCAGTGCCAAGGCTTCTTGTGCCCACCAATCATTAAATTGTCTCTCCAGAAGCCCGGTATTTAAAAGACATCTTGAAGAGGTGGAAAAGAGTAAGATGAGATGTCCACACCTCCTCCTATCGTAATCAGTACATACCCTCTTCCTATGACTTCAGTGCAGGTGGTGTTGACTGAGACCGTCTGACTGTCCCAAGACTTGTAAGTGTATACATGCTAATAACGTATCTTGCTTGCAAATACGACAGAAGCCATTATGAATGGGGCAGTGATGTGATCGGGGAGAGAATTATCCCCAAATACACATCACTGAGGACATTAAATGCTCTTGGAAATGCTTCAAGCCATATAGTAATCATTGAAAACAGGATGACGACGTGATAGAAGCAGTAGACTCACTTTACAATGCCTGGTGCACTTTTTTTGAATTTTGGAAAGGGAACAAGGGTGAGAGAGTTAAAACAGTGAATTATTTTGAAATATACTGTGATCTATCCTGGGTTAAGAGTTAGAACAAAAACATACTTACTTTCCTGAAAGAATGTCATGCCTGAGTTGTAAAACAAACAGGTACCTGACAAACATATACAAAAGTCAACAGAGGGTAACTGTGCCCCAGCCGCTTCCGACCCCCAGCTGCCCAGCACTAAGCCCACCCACGCACCCAGCCCTGATCTGTGCATTGTAAAAAGGAGTCCAAATCAGATGAGCACTTTGGTGGAAGCATCTCGCCTTGTGTCTCCAGGAAGGCATCCCAGAACCCAGCTCGGAAGGTGAGGGCACGTACAGAATTTGCAAGATACTTGTAGGATGGAACATGGAACACCACACAGTCCAGTGATGGCCTCCACAGCCGCTCCCCCACCAGAAGCTCAAGAAGAGACCCAGACAGGGAACAGAGACTCCACACACAAGCATGCAACCTGTCCACTCAAACAAGCAGGGCAGGGCCACTGGATTTGGCCCTCAGCCAGTGCCACCAGCCGATTCCAGAAAGGCTGCAGCTGATGGTATCAGAAAGTTTGCAGCTGACAGTAGTTAGCAACTGCTTGAGGCTTTTGTCCCTGTTGCAGTATAACTGTAGTGTGTCTTAAAAAACAAAACAGGCATACACACACACCAAGAAGAAAAGAGAAAAATCCTGGGATTGGACAGCAGTCAGTTCCAGGGTAAGGAAAGACGGGGGAAGAAGGCAGCAAATGACAGGAGTGAGGTTCACTTAGGTGAAAAATAACTGTCTTGGACTAATAAGCAAGTGGTTTTTTACCAGGAGGATGTGGGCACCAGAGACACTTGTCGTGCTTTGTAAATACCAAAGCCACCCACACTGTACCCTGTACCTGTGGCACCACAATCAGTGGTCCCCAGGAGTCTGCACGGTCCCAGAGCTTCCCAGGTGTTTCTGATTCACACCATCTTGGTAAGAACCACTGGGAGTGATGACAGCTAGAAGCAGCATATTCCTTAAAGGGTTCTGAAGAGGAACACTAGGACGGTTTGTTGGAACTTTGAAATCAATGCAGATAATCTCTCTCTGTCGACCGGATGGATAGAGGAGAGTATGGGTGACCCAGAAATAAAAGGGGTGGGGGAGGCTGAAGGCTCTAGTACATTTTAGAATGTTCCCGATTTCCCACAAGTGCTGAACCACTACTGAACTTCACTTCTGAAATTCAGGGCACCATCTTGTACTCCCATCAAGGAGGACACAGTGCTGAGGTGCCCAGAACGTCTTTCCTATAAGAACACCTAACCACAGCAGGCTCCGGGCCTTTCGGGGGTGGTGGTGGTAATAAATGGTCAGTGTTTAAAGCATTACTTAGGCCATCATCTCCATGCTAGTGGCCACCACCATGGGCCACCCAGCAGCTTATGTCACCACCACTGTGCCTCATACAATCACAAGCAGGTTCTGGGAACATCAAAGCAGGAAAAAGCTGGGCAGAGAATGTCATTGATGGAGAGTGGGTAAAGCCAAACTCAGTCCTTTCAAAAATTTAAATTCCTTTTGCTTCTGTACTGTTTCTGAAGTATAAGAGAGAGACAGGCAGGCAGAACATAAAGTAAACCCAGTGGGGCTGAAAGACAGCAGGACGGGATTCTAACAACTCTGTTGTCATGAAAACAGCCATTTTACAGAGAGGGCTCCTCATATTGTGACAAACAAGGGAATATTTTGCAGTCCCTCAGCAAAATAAGATGGCAATTTTAGACACTGGAAGAGAGAACCACTCTTCCAGTATCTACCCTCTCTTTCTGTAGCTGAGACAAGAATAAAGAGCCATAGAACGACCAACCAATTTACCCAAAGCCCAAGAAAACAGAAGAGTGACAAGAAAAGCTTGTAATTTGTATTCACTAATGAACAAGGTCAGATCAAGTTGTGGATTTTCAACAGAATACAGAGATAAGCACAGGCAAAGTGTTAACTCCTGTTCAGAAATAGAGAGACAGGGATGAAAAGAGAGGCCAACCCACGACCCAGAAGACTTGTATTTGTAAGTAAAGCGAGCAGCACTGGTGGGGCTCTCGATCCGCATCACGTCCTACCTTGTAAACTCTTCACGAAGGTTGTTTGGTTCTGAAGAATAGTATTTCACTCGAAAGTGCAAAGCATAAGCTGGTCCGACTAAACATTTGGAGACGGAAGGTTGCAGGTTGTTTTCCCCCAGTTTTGAAGATCACAGAATGGACAAAAGGAAAAACACGTTAAATCCACCACACACTCACCACTACAGTGGGAGAGCACAATGGGGCACGCAGAGCTAGTAAGTTCTTTCAACCCGAGTTTGGAAAACCAAAAGGGACTTTTGTGTTGACCAGGATGGTTTGGCCAGTAACCTCCTTCTGGGGGAGGGAAAAAAAATTAATCATCTAGATGAATTACCAGAAGTTGACATTTTACTTTCAACTCTGATGCCAAGATACTCTGAACTGATACCTACGTTTTACAAAATACCATGCAGGCTAATGCGTCGTGTTTGTTGTTGTATGTAGGCTAAAGGAGGGAAAACAATGTGTTCTGAGATCTAAGAATAGAGTAAAAACATCTTAAAATGCTTTTTAGAGAGGCTAAGTATGTGAGTGTATGTGTATATAAAATACATATTTAAATTACATATATATAAAGTATTACAAGTGTGTATATATGTACATAGATACATTTAAATTCTATTGAGAGCTGGGCCAGACAGCCTGAGACGCCTCCTGCCCTACCATTCTCTGACTCTACTTTGAAACTCATTGGAAAGTGAATGTAATAGGTGTAAATCATGAATATATATTCATCAGTTCTCACTGGCAAGTGTCTGATTTCAATGAGAGCATGGTCTGTTTTTCAATATGTACCAAAAACTCTTATTCAAATTTTAAATGCCAGCATTTGGCCAGCCTGAGGAAATTAAAAACCATCCATTTAAAATGCTTCCAGGTTCTAATGAAAACATAACACCTCAAAACATTGGCAAAGGAGTCTCAGAGAAAAGAAAGAAGGGAGAAGGCTTAATTCCTCTTACGTACTTTTCATCTGCTTCTTTATGGGTTTGGAATGATCCAGCCAGTGCTGAAAGAAAGAAAACGGTTCTTAGAACAGTTCATTAGCAGGACAACAGTTACCCTCCTCTACAGACCTCAATGATTCTATCTATGAAAATCAGAGATGGGACCATGTCATGAGTTCTTAGGTGGGGGATCTGCAAAGCCCTTGGGATGGTATGAAAAATTCTGTTTATGCACATAAATGCATTTCTCTGGGGAACAGCCCAGTTTCTGTAAGACTTTCAAAGCGGTGCCAGAAAGAACTTAAAATCCGTTAACTGTTTATTGCACAACGCACTGAACAAAATTAACGCCATTGAACTGTATCTGTAAAAAAGGTTGGAATGGCAAACTTTTTTTATTTAATTGTGATTTTTTTTTTTTTTTTTCTGTGATTTGGGTGAAGATTTACAGAGCAAATTCACTTTCCATACAGCAGTTCACATATACTTTGTCTCATGTCATTGACCACAGTTTACCACAATGCAACAGCTCTCCTCCCACTTCCTCCCCATAGTTACCTCTTCCCTGTGTCCATCCCTCCATGCACTCCTTCCCCCTGAGCTGTCTCCCTGTGTATAAGCAGCCCTTTTTTCTCCCATGATTGTTCTCTCTAAGGAGAGTATCCACTTGAGGTAAATGTTCAACTCATATGCCTGTCTTTTGTTTGGCTGGAAACTACAGGTGTGGGTTCAATTCCAGACCTGAAAGGCAGCTAGGGGCCATAGTCTCAGTGGTTCCACCAGGCTCTATTGGACCAGCAAACCTGGTGCGCCCCCCCCCCCTTTTCTTCCTCCAAATGATTTTGAGTTTTGTTCCACTTGTTCTCCCTCTCTATCCAGGATCTCCTACATAGATCCCTTTCCAAGGGGATGACAGTGGTAGCCAGGCACCATCTAGTTCTTCTGGTCTCATAGTCGTATAGGCTGCAGATCAGATGGTGTACCAATCTCTAGGACTAATTGTTTCCATGAATTTTGGTTTTCTTCATTCTTCTTTGCTCTGGATGAGGAAAGACCCATCATTGCATCTAGATGGCAGCTTGCTAGCTTTTAAGATCCTAGTCGTTACTTGCCAAAGTAAGAGGTGGAACAATGTTTTGTATAGTATGTTATGCCAATTGAGCTTGATGTCACCTGCGACTATGGTCCCAAGCCCACAGGTTCAACTACTCGGTCCCTCTGGGTAGCTGGCTGTGACCAAGCAGTGACCACAACCTTGCCCTTTGTCAGCTCTACTATATACCTGGGAATTCTGATCATTCACATAAACTTAGAGGACCACTGTCTGCCAACCCTATATATGTTCTTGGATACATTCCCCATTTCATAGACATACCTAATCGTTTAGCCTGTCCACCCATCTATCCACCCATATACCCATGTTTGCCTTCACTGACAACGCAGTACTGTATGTGCAAAAGGGTTCATATTTGTTGTCTGTACCTCCCATGTACCTCTCTCTCTCTTTCTCATCCTCAGTGCCACCATACTGGTCACTCACATTTGGTACACTGGGAATGGCAAATGTTTTTTTGTATGTATTTTTACCACAATTAAAAGGAAAAAAATCCCTTAACTACATGATCTATAAAGTCCTTTCCAGTCAGTAAAACCATCAACTGCCTTTTCCTCCCAAGGTTCACAAGTCACAATCCCATTCTTCCCCACTAATCCCAAGTCTCCATGAGTCGAATAAAGGCAACATGCCATGCTTGAGCCTCTAATCATCATCAGCCTTGGAGTTCTACTGTCCTAAATGCTAAAATCATGAAACCAAAAGTTATGTCTCTGTTATACTTTTGCCAACAAAATGAACCACATCTAAGACGGAAAGATGACAATTCAGACAGCCAGGGATTAGCCCAAGATAATTGTGCTGTGGTTACTGAGGGCATTTCAACTTACTCTAGTGTTCACCAAAGGAGCTCTGGTGGTGCCGTGCCTGAGGCATTTGATTGCTTAACCAGAAGGTTGTCAGTTCAAACCCAACAGCTGCTCCGCAGAAGGAAGATGAAGCAATCTACTTCCGTAAAGATTTACCACCTTGGAAATGCAGTGGGGGTTGCTATGAGTTGGAATCAACTCAGTGGCAGTGGAGTTTGGGTTTAGTGTTCACCAGAAGCAGCCCTTCAGGTTTATCCACCCAAGGATATTACAAACGACTGCTTTCATACAGAAGGTTCACTATTAGGTCAAAGTGGTTCATGCAACAGTTCTGATGATCTCGGCAACTTAACTTCCAGGGAAAACTACATGTAGGACCCCTAAGTGGAGCAAAAGGAGCTCTGGTAGCATAGTGACTAAGGCACTTGACTGCTAACCAGAAGGCTGGTGGTTCATACCCACCAGCCTCTCCTTGGAAGGAAGGTTGGGCAATCTACTTCCGTAGTGATACTGCCTCGGAAACCCAAGGAGGGGTCGCTATGAGTCGGGGCCGACTCAACGGCATATAACACCACCACCACCACAAGTGGAGCAAGCAGTTCATGCTCAACTACTAACCTGAAGGTTGGTGGTTCAAACTCCCTCAGGGATACTGCGGAAAAAAGGCCTGATGGTCTGCTTCCATTACAATTACAGCCAAGAAACCCTAACTACTGCCTCATAATGCACGGGATTGCCATGAGTCAGGATCGACTCAATGGCAGCTAACAACAACAGCTCCCTGTACAGGTCAGTAAGTGACTAACTAACTAAAAAATTCATCAATACATGGGAAGTCTGCATTACTCTATAATTAGCCAGATGGCCCGTTCAGCACACTGTCGCCATGGTCCCTTGACTTTATTTGTTCCATTGATCTTCCTCTTTCCACTTACCACACAGTGTGGTTATGTTTGTGTGTCAACTTGGCTGGGCCTGGTTGAGTGGTGGGGCAGCTGGTGGTAATATTCCCCTTGATGAGACTGGCAATCAACTCCATGGTGGGATCTACTGTGAGCAGCTGAGTAGCTGCCTTAGGGATGTGGTCTGCTTCCCAAATATAAGGAGAAGGCTTGGGGAACGGTCTCTAGCTTATGGCATGCTTGGACCCTGCGTGTAGCCATGCCTCTGTTCAGCAGCCTGCCATCCTTTGCTGATCTTGGGACTTTCAATGGACTTGAATTAATGGCCTGCCGTGCGGTTTGGTAACATCAGGACTGTGCCATTTTATTTGTCGCGCTTGGGCTTGTTAGCATCAGCAGCCAGTAGCTGCCTGCGTGAAGAGATGCCTCTGACTTCAGTGGGCCGGGAGCCAGAGGCAGAGCTGAAGCCCAAGGTCGAGGGGCTTTCACCCAGCCCCTAGATCCTGGCACATTGAACTCGGACTTCTAGCCTCCCGAACTGTAAAAGAGTAAACTCCTGTTTGTTCAGGCCATCCCATTTGTGGTATATTCCTGTCAGAGTGGCACCAGGGAACCAGAACACACAGCCTGGCCCAGGGTAACCAGCTCCCTCGACTTGATTCTGACTCACGGTGACCCCGTGTGTGTCGCGGTAGCTCTGCTCCACTGGCTGATTATTTTGAAAGCAGATTGCCAGGCGCTTCTTCTGAGCCACCAGGCTCTTGGTTAGCAACCGGGCACTCCAGTCCTCTGCACCACCCGCACCTAAGATCAGGGCTTTTCAGCCTGGTTGGGGCCAAGGTGATGGCTAATTCTAATGGGCCAAACTGATCCATCAAAAACTACCTGAGAGGTGAATAACGACTGGGGAAGGCCCAGGGTACCCCCGTGAGTATCAACCAAACCAAACTTACTGCCTTTGAGTTGGATCCGACTCATAGCAACCCCTCCTTGGGTTTCAGAGGTGGTAGACAGGACAGTATCTTCCAGAGACAGGGGTATCTTAAATCTCAAAATCCTACACCTGTGTTTCTCAACCCAAAGCAACTTCTCCTACTAACTCTCAGCCACTGTACATTGAAGCTTCCATTGCCAGCACCATGAGTCAGCACTGACTTGATAGCAACAGGCTTGTCTGTTGTAAACAGTGAGCCCTCCATGTGAGCTCAAGTTCCTGGAGGGCAGAAACTTAACTACTGCTGCTTCTTGGGCCGGTCACAGGCCCTGGCACCCTGCAGACCTTCATTACAGTCTCGAGAAATCAATGTTAAATATAATTTTTTTGAATGTGGCAAACAGAGACTTTTCCCATCACTTGTGATAACTCAGTACACACTGGAACATCACTGCTAGACAAGAGCAGAGTAACACAGCCAGAGTGGGTTTCTCACTAGCTACTCAGAATCAACCTGCTGACTGTCAATACACTTTGAGGGGCAATCTAAACTCCGCACATTCTAATAATGAAAGAGGGCATGACTAAATTAGCACAGTGTACCCTCCACCTAAGCAAAGAGCCCATTATGACTGTGTGGGAGGAAGGGGGATAGGGCAACACAAAAGCAAACAACAGATGAATTACAACACAATGACCGGGAGCAGAGCAGGGGAGAATGCGGCTTTTGTCATCCCCACTCCCAGCTGGGCAACCGTAATAAAGGCAGCAAGCTGATGGCTGCAGCAGGACTGTTGCAAAGGCACATGTACTAGATGCTTTATCTCACTGTTAATAGCTTTGAATTGGAAATGACCTAAATGTCCATCAACAAAGACAGGCTGAAAAACAGCTCATACGTATAATGAAATACTATTCAGCCTTTAAAACCGAGACAGGGCTGTATTTATTGATGTGGCAGGAGATCCAAGGCACACTATTACATTAAAGAAAATAAATGCATAAGGTAGGGTCCCAGTGATAGAAAAGGGTTCTTTTATATCAGGATATGCCCAGGGGGGTTCTAGAGGTTATTTTTGGATGGCAGGACTGTGAATGTCATCTGCTTTTTTTTAACAAGAGTATGATAGGGAAGGAAGATTGGGCAATCTACTTCCATTAGTGATACCGCCTCAGAAACCCAAGGAGGGGTTGCTATGAGTCGGATCTAACTCTAAGGCAGTGTGTTTTTTTATTTTTTTTTTTTCTCAATGATACTCATGGGGGTACCCTGGGCCTTCCCCAGTCATTATTCACCTGTCAG